TGATCCAGTCTGCTCTTTTATTGTCTTCCTCAAACTGTGTAAAATGGTTTAAAACTTTCTGTAAATTTCTCTATTGTCTAAAATTTTAAAGTGACAAGTATTGTTCATTAACATTAAACTTTTATATATGAGAACTAATTCTTGAATGGACAGCAAAGTTACTGTCTTATATAAGTAGTGAGTTTTTACTTAATTTCAATTGCTTTGGTACTTTACATATTCTACTTTGGTAATACAGCTTTACTTATAATATGTACATGTCTGTACATATTATGTGTGTGTTACACATGAATTACCCAGGTTTTCTCGAATGTTTAATTGGTCAGTTAGCCAAACTTTACATATTTATTTTGGCCTCAATGTGTGATGATACTTTTCAGTTTGTGGACATCTAATACATGAAGATTTCACAAGTATTCATTACGAATGTGCATATAGTTATTTTTTAATTGACTTCTTCGAAATACTTGCAGCCAAACATTGGCTAGAATGTCCCAAATCATGGTGACATTTTCCTGTTAGCTTTCAATTACACTTGCTAATTTAGGTCTACGAAAACTATATATACCATGTACAATATGCCCACTAAACATCTTCAGTAGAAAGTAACATATAGCCAGTATTCAACATAAAATAATTTCACATTTTTCTTTTATAGTCTCCTGTGAACTGGCAATGTTTGTTTAATGCTGTGTTATTGCAAATTACTAAAGCATGTGGTCTTTTTTTTCTGAATTTTTAGTAGACCAATTTTGCTGCTCACGACTGAATCTAGAAAGGCACTTCTTCCATCTAACATTGTTAATGCCAGTAAGCAATACTTGTGTGCAACAAAACGCTGTCCCTTGATCTCAGTGTGAATGGCCTACGTTCTCCTTACACCACTGATTAAAATATCCACAGTAAGAGAGTACTGAATGGGTTTAGACTTTTTAAAGTGAAATGATTAACATGTGGAGTTTTGAAATACATTCTTTACAAAAGAGCTTTCTTTCCCTTTTATATTTTGATGATTGTTTCCTTGTATGATGATTAAGGTTTGTTCTTTTGATATTATTTAAATCATGCTTCCTTCTTTTTTCCCCCATCATTATATTTACTAAGCTGATTTACATGAAATTTGACACTGGAGGTCACAAAGTATATTTAATAAAAAATGCTCTGTATGTAGAAATGTGTCAGTATTTTATTCAAAGAAAAATACAGTTTTGAAAATTCATCTGGTCTAAGCTTACTTTTCAGAAATGAAAGGAATTTCTAAGTGAACTGCTAAAATAAAACAACTTATATTCGATCATTTACTTGGTAGTGAAACAGTTATTTTCATCCTTATATATGAAGAATTTTATTAAAGACCAACTGTGTGGTTACTACAAATTTATTCATTTATTTTTTATTTTATTTTTTTGCAGTACCAGGGATTGAACTCAGGGCCTTTTGCTTGCCAGGCAAGCACTTATTCTACTGAGCCATCTCCCCAGCCCCCAGTTACTACAAATTTAGATTGTGTTGAAATACTCTGACTGAATCAACCACTTCACTAACATCAATGTATTGTCTCCTGTGAGCCACTGACTACATTAGTAGATAGTGATACTGCAATAGGAGAACTAAAGCAGAAAAATGTGAGACTGACTTGGCAGTTGAATTTCAAATTCATTTGGGTGGTTATGGAAGGTCTCTGTAAGGATGTTTTATATGGCCTATCAGTGTTCCTACAAACAATGCAGAAAGAGGCTTGGAGGCGTGATATACAAGAAATAGGTAATTATGGCCTGAAGGAAAGGAGTCTGAAGATGTTAAGAGGGCCTATCTTACTTGTATGATTAGGCCTCAATCTGTATTTTATTGCCTCTCTCACTGGGGTTGTGAGTGCTGTTCTCTTTATATCTGTGATTTGGGCGAGTTTCTTTGACTAATGTGCTGCTTTTGAATCTTACATACTGTGGTTCATAATACTACCACTGGGGTCCCAATCATTGATTTTCTTGTCACATATGCAAAGTGACATAGCCTGTTAATCTCTGCTAGATAAAGAGTGCACTATTGAGGCAAGAGGATATTTGGCATCTGAGAGGATCCCAAAACTTTTGAAGACTAGAGTGTAATTTCAGCACTGACTTACCTTAAAGCAAATACAACTCAAAAATACTTTGGAATGTTTCCTGCATTCATCTCCTAGTAGACACTTTATCTACCTAAAGTGGGTTGGAATTGCCTCAACTATTAGAAATTAATCCAGCCTCCATGAGAATCCTCTGGATAAAGAATCATCTAAGCCCCAGATAGTTGAAAAAGGTGATAGCTTAAAAGGTGAAACAATGTCTTGCTGTCTTTATAAAATGTCTCTGTCTTGCTAGGGATAGTGTAATATGTAGATCTATCTATCTTTCATCTTATATCTGTCTAAGCCATCTGAATCTCCAGCAATGCGCAGGGTTAGAGTTGTTCTGCTGCTGACTATAGATGTTTTGCTGAACTACAAAGTGTATAAACATATAAGTATATAACAATATGTACCTGTATATTCACTGGCTGCAAATTTACAGTGACCAATTTTGACATTCCATGAAATATACAAACTTGGAACTGTAGTAAACATCACAAACTAGTGGGACATTTGTCTAGAGATGACTGAAAAACACATTCAGGGGCTGGATCTTTAGCTCATGTGTAGAAGCTTGCTTAACAAGCTGGAAGCCCTGGGTCCAATCCTTGGCACCAAAACCAAAAAATAAACCTCACCTGGAAAATAGAGATTCAATAAATCAACTATTTTCTTTTCTTTTTTTTTTAAATCAACTATTTTCAAGAAAACAAAATGTTTGGAAGTGTAGGCAATCTTCTCAACTGCTAAGGCCTTTTTAAAAAGCTTAAAGGAGAGCCAGGGAGATAGTTCAGTAGAATAAGTGCTTGCCTGGTAAGTGCAGGGTCCTGAGTTCAATTCTTGGTACCACAAAAAAAAGAAAAAAAAAAGCTTTAAGGAGGACTTTGAATAATGAAAATTTACATCGGGGTGTTAAACTGATGAGAGGAACAGGAGTTGGAAAAAAAAATCAATCACCCTGAGTGGGATTATTCTGATTTAAATTATACATTGCCTTAAAACTGAAATCCTTTTTTTTTTTTTTTTTTTTTTTTTTTTTTTTTGAGACAGAGTCTTGCAATGTCATTCAGCCTGGCCTAGACTCATCATGTAGCCCAGGCTGGCCTTGAATTTACTGAGATTCTCCTGCCTCAGCATCCCAGATGCTGGGATTACAGGCATGTGCCACCAACCCAGGCAAATCTTTAAAAGTTTTAAAGGCACAATTCAGATATTTTCTATAGGCGATTTGTGGTAAGAATTATTTGGGAAATGTAATTCCATTTTCCCTCCTAACCAAAAGATGAAAGACAATAAAATCTGCTTTAAAGGTTTGACTGAAAGTACATTATTCAAAGAAGGAGCACTTGCTGTGCTTCGCTCATTTGTTGCCTAAATAACCGAACCAACTTGTAAAATCAGATGCAATAAGGAGGGAAGGGGAGGAGGAGTAGTACCTTTAAATGTGCATATCCTGCAGACAGATAGTTGAGGTTAAGCTTAACAGCCTAAGTTGTATGGTAATAACAATAAGCTCGTAATTAGCGAAAAAGGAGGGCTGCAAGGAAAGCCAACATTTTGGCCCTAGCCTTCTAAGGTCAATTAAGACTCAGGACACATGAGAACTTGTATTGTAACGTCATATAACTCAGTAGTGTCCCAAATTTTCTGATCAAGATTATGGGGCCAAAGAGGAAAGTGATCGATGATGTAGAGTGTGCCTAAGGAGAGTCACATGGAGAGAAAACATTCCCTCAGGCTTTCACAGAGAGCACACTGGCCAAGCAATGGCCGTGACTCATCCACATGGCTGACACTGACAAAGGTTCTACAAGCTGAGGTACAAGATCTCAGGATAAATCCTGAGGGGATTTCACTGGCCTTATCAGACCCAAAAGCTACAACTCTTGTTGCATAAGTCCTGCTTTACCTTGGTCTTAACCATCCAGCACAAAAGTATAAAAATGAAATATAAGAAGTAAAGCCATGCTGTTATGTTGAGCTGTAGGGGACTCAGGTCAACAATTTCTGACATTGCCAGTCAAGAGGAAGACCCAATACTATTAGGGGATACTGGACTGTTTAGAATATTTTGCTGAGTTTACACACCTATGATATTTAAATGATGGAACTTAACAAAAAAAGGTCATACAGATGAATGTCCATTTTGTATCTGTGTATTCAAAGTGGTTAGGATAGATATATAGTTGCATTCTCTTAATGAATAGAGTGATTTGTTCTAATGGTGTTTGTAAATAGGATATCACGTCTGCATCTTGTACAGCAATTAACCACTAGGAAGAATGTATGCAATGTGTTAATTATTGAAACTGTCCTACTAATTTGGTTTGAAACTGTCATTGCTATTTGTTTCTCAATAAAATTATGGGGAAAAATGCATATCCACGGGATACACCTTCAGCACCTGTGAATTACATGGACTTAACTGTGACATCAGGAAAATTACATGACTTCAGGAATATCGGGTCAATTTCAGATTGAAAACAAATGCTAACAAAAAATAGCCTTGGAAATGAGGGTAACAGCCCCCTGTACTTACAGACAAACCCACAAATCTGGCGTTGCTGCAGGGCTCTCCTCTGCTGTGGACACAGTGCCCCAGAATGAAGTACAATTCCACAAGGAGTTTCCACGAAACATTAAATCATCATCAGCTCAATTACCATACCACTGTATATTTGTTAAACGTGCAGCACCAGACGGCAGTGAAATTACTTCAAGCCTGCAACCTGGGTGTGGACACCGCCCGGGTTGGAAGTCTCAACGTCCCTCGCTGCTAGAAGCCTCGCAGTAGCGACGAACTCCCTAGTGCTGGGGGCGTGGCGTCCCTCGGGCCCGCCCCGCCAGAAGCCCCGCCCACCGAGCCCGGCGCGCCGCACGCCCCGCCTCATGTCGTCGCTACAGCGGAGAGAACGATGACGTGAGGGGAGAGCCGCGAACATCTATCTCCTCTGGGCGCAGCTGGGACGGCAGTTCTCACAGCCCCGGAGTCCGAGCTCAGAAGCGCCTCTCCGAGCTCCTCTCCTACCGACCTCGCCCTCCTCCCCGGGCGGGCCGCCTCCCGCGCGGCCTTTACGGCTCCTGGCACGGCCCCGCGCTCGGCTGCCGCCCTGGCGCGCTCCACTCTGTCGTCCCCGGATGGGCGCGGACCAGCTTGGCCCGGGCGCCGGCGGCTGGGGAGGGGGCGCTGGCCCCGGGGCCGCGCATGCGCTGCCACCAATCTGGGGCTCTCAGTGGAGAGCGAGTACTGGCTGGGAGGGGAGACGACCCCCTTCGGGGCCAACGGGCCGCACGCGGAGGCGGCTGTGGGAACGACTCACCCCTTTTCCAGCCCTGGGGCGGGGCTGGGGTCGGGGTCTGGGCCCATGGGGGCTCCGCCCCCGTCTCCTGGCCTGCCCCCTTCGTGGGCCGCGATGATGGCGGCCCTGTACCCGAGCACTGACCTCTCGGGCATCTCCTCCTCCTCCCTGCCTTCCTCCCCATCTTCCTCTTCGTCGCCAAACGAAGTGATGGCGCTGAAGGATGTGCGGGAGGTGAAGGAGGAGAACACCCTGAATGAGAAGCTTTTCTTGCTGGCGTGCGACAAGGGTGAGAATGAGGCCCCTTTCCCCGCCTCTCCACGCCCCTGCGCGTGCCCCCGGGTCTTCTCCCAGCCGCGCTCACTCGGGCGTCCTCTCCCGCCGCGCAGCTGTCCTGCAGCGCCGCCCCCGCCCTGCGCGCGGAGCTGGTGCGCGCGCCACCCCTGGGGGCCGCTCTGGCGGTGGGTTCCCTTCTGGGGGTCAGGTGTGGGGCTGCGGTGGTGGGAACCCGGACCCTGGAGTTTCAGCTCCACCCCAGATGCTGACCACGTGAATGATCTCGTTACCTCCTACCCTCGCTTCTTTTTGGGAACTGAGCGCCTGGTTTCGGACCTTGTGGTCTAAATTTCAATAACCTTTCCTAAAGATTTCTCCTCTTCATGGGCTCTGACTTGACCTGTTTTGTTGTGGTGGTTGTTGGTGTTTTGAAAAGAATCTTATGTTATTTGGCGTTAGTTGCCCAGAGCCTTGATCTGTGATGGTTAAATAGAGATAGATATTTGCGTCAATGTATCCTAGTAGAGAAACATGAAATCAGAACAGAACTGGAAAATTCTGCCTTACTTCCCAAAACTTACTCTAACCTTAGAGAGCATCTTTGTTTCTTGTTTTTATTAGGAACTGCTCCACAGCCTTCTTTAAGAGAGAAAGATAGTGAAAGATTATTACAGGAGGAAAAAATGGGTGGTAGATTTAGTGTTTCCCTTTTTAATCTACAAAGTCTGTAAATCCATTTTTATGGCTGTATTAAAACTTTTCGCCATAAACAGGCCTTCAAGTGATGCTTATAATAAAAGAAATAGGAAATTGCCCTCAGACTGCTTTTATTTCCTACAGAAATAAAAGTACTGTCAATTTTCTGTTTCACAATTTATGCAGCTTGCTGTACAGTGTCCATGCTCACTTAAGAAAAGTCTGTTAAAATAGACATCCAAAATATGCAGTATATGCAAACGGGAACTGACACTATACACGATTTTTTGCTTGTTGTGTGTGTGAGTTTTAAGGACAGTAACTTTTCTACTGCTTTTTTTTTTCTTTTATTAAGTTATGTATTGGATACAGGGTTTAGCTACGCAGCTCTAACTTGTAGTGATCCTCCTGTCTCAGCCTCTCCAGTGCTGGGATTGCAGGTGTGCACCACCACACTTGGTCTCAGTGACCTACTGGGCACGCCTGCGGCAGAGAGCCCTTGCAGCGTGTGGTGCCACTGATCAAACCCGAGTCCCTGCATTTTCCAGGCAGGCACATAGACTGCTGAGCTGTTTCCTGGGCTCCTCTCACTGCTTTTGAAATAGGATTTTATGTATACAACTTTATGAAAGTACATTAATGCGTAAAAAGTTTGCCTATGCTTGTTAAGCCACTTTTATGTTCTCATATAATAGTAGTAAGTAATGAGAAAACATTTGTTAAAGTCTATCATAGATACAACTTTGAATAGTTTAGGAAATGTAAAGAAACATAAACATATGGTCTATGGGTTATGTAATATTATTTCATATTGCTGGAATACCTTGAGTTCTCCTCCCTCAAAGTTTCTGAGTGGGGAAGGGAAAAGATTGTCTTACATTGGAATAAATGGTCACTTTTACCCTAGTTCATATGTTGTGGATATTGTAAAGCAAACAGAAAAGGAATTTTCTCTTCTTGTTAAACTTGAGGACAGAAATAACATAATGAAATGTGACTGGAGTAGGGATGGTATTTCCATGGTATATATTAAGGATTATTACATGACATATTTCAAATAAGAATTTTAACTGATGACAGTTAAATTCATAGTAACATTTAAAGCAGCTTTTTTCTTTGTGGAACCCGGGATTGAACTCACGCCCTTGCGCTTGCCAGGGAAGTGCTTATTGTACTGAGCCATCTCTCTGGCCCCTTAAAACAGCTCTTGATATTATTGTTAGTTTCCCATGCTATAACATCAAAATCCTTGGACAGATTGGCTTTTGGAGGTCAGATAGAAACTAAATATGTGTTATCCCTGCATATGAAGCTTTTCAACATGAGATAAAATTTTTGTATTTCAGATATGTTGAAACAAAGTCTTTGGTTAAGTTTGGAGAAGTGGTACATGACTCACACGTGCTTTTGGTACATAAATTTGAGTTAGAGTAGTGTTTTTTTGCTTATATGTTTGTATGCACTAATATTGTTGAACATTTTTTAGTGTTGCCTAAATCAGATCTAAAAGTGAAAATTTTTCTAAAGTAGTAGAAACTTCTCCCACTATATTGGAATCTTCATCAGACCAAAAAGCAAACATTTATTAAAACAACTACTGGAATAGTGTTCTTGCATTTTATAGTTTCATTTAATGTATGTCAGTGAGCTAGATTTCTCTCTCTCTCTCTCTCTCTTTTTTTTTTTTTTTTGCTCCTTGAATGGCTCCAGGGCACTTTTGCATGGCTGGAATGTTGTGGGGATCGAACTACAGCAAACTGAGGCTGCCAGCATTGTGGAAGCAGCCACTTAAAGAAGTGAGCTAGGGCTGGGCCCCCTCTCTCTCTCTCTCTGTATTTTGTATCTATCTGGTAATAGTTGAATGAATGAAAATCATTTGTGTCAGAAAAGATGTATCTATCCACGTTTGGATTTACAAATTGGAAATTAAACTTGCTTTGTGTGATTGTTTTATAAGTCTTGAATTCTTCATGTTCAGTTTATTCAGTAAAGGTAAAAGGCAAGCATGGTATTTGAAGAGTGCCACACAAATCAGCCTTAACAATATTATGCTATATGTGTAAAATGTTTATAATATGGAATCTAGGATTTTCTAAAAGAAAAATTGTGGAGATGAGGTTATTTTTAATGAGTGGGTGACCCTTGGAAACTGTGTGCAGATGAAAGAATAAACTAGAAATCTATTGTATAGTTTTTAATAACTGGCTTTTATGTAAAGGAGCTCAACAGACCTAGGCAATTGTACACTGAAGTAGTAGTCACTTAATAATGGCAATTACTGGGACTGGGGTGATGGCTCAGTAGAATAAGCGCTTTCTTGTCAAGCCCAAGGGCCTGAGTTCAATACCCGGTTCTGCAAAAAAAAAAAAAGAAGAAAGAAAAGCAATTACTGGGCCAGCAAGATAGCTTAGTGAACTAAGTGCCTGCTCAGGTGAGCACAGGGACCAGAGTTTGATCCCAGGCACCACTTGGCGCTGGCCCCTTGGGCTGAGCTGACCACTTAAGATGGGGTGTGGTGGCGCATGCCTGTAATCCCAGCACTGGGGAGGCTGAAACAAGAGGATCACTGTGAGTCTGAGCTGCCTAGTGAGATTCTGTACCAAATATAATTAATTAATTAATTAATGGCTATTACTGATCTTCACTATGTGCCAGGATCATCTCAGAGATAACACTTTTTATAAATTGCATAAAGTTTGTATAAAATTTAGAAAAAGTTAATTGAGTTTCTGTTCCAGAGATGTAAAGTTCACTCTGGACCCCCTAAATGAAATTCTCAACATACACTTACTCTTTTTAGACATGGACCCCTCATTCAGAGGTCAAGGCTAACTGAAATAGGAGCTAACTATAGGTATATGTAATTAAATATTAAGTAGCAATTCTGACCACGCATACCATTTTCTCCACTGAGAGTACTTGTGGTAGTGAGCCCCCTTTACTTGTGGAAATCTGTGGCATCTATTCCTTGCTGACAGAATAGTAGGTAAATAGGGCCTGCGATATAGCTCAGTGGAATAAGTGCATACGTGGCAAGCACAAGATCCCGAGTTTGATCCCTGTTACTGCATACAAAACAAAAACAAAACAGAAAAGTAATGGGTAAATAATGCTTATTATGTGCCTAAACTAAGTACGATCCATTTTAATTTTCTATATTTAAAGTAGCCATTGAATAGATAGTAGTTTTTAATATATGTTCATGAACATAAACCCTTTAATTTGCTGATGATCAATAATTAGTTTTTTTTTTGTTTGTTTGTTTGGTTTTTTTTTTTGGAACCAGGGATTGAACTCAGGCCGTTGTGATTGCCAGGCAGGCGCTTAATAATTAGTTCCTGTGCAAGAAAGGAGGTATGAAAGGATTTTGTGCCTGCCAAGTCTTCATGGAGAGTATTTTTGGGAAATTTAATTTGTAATTGAATCAGCAGTTCCCTCTTGACATTTCAGCATGGGGGCAGAGGAAGCATATGGAAGGCACAGTTTCGCCATTCTGCTTGTGCTCAGTGTGTTTTGTTTTCTGTCATCTTTGTGATATGATTGCTGCAGTATAAGAACCGATCTTTTGATGAGTTCTTTTTGTACCTTTGGGCTAAGGATAAGCCACTGTTTTATTAACTTTATATATTTGATGGGAATTTTTTGTTATAGCTATTTGAAAAGAGGTTTTTGAAGAGAATGATTAAAGAGGTTTGGGGCAAATTAGAAGAAATGCAGTGTATTGGCTATTGCTGAGTTTTATGTTGACATGTGGCACCTAATGTAAAAAGGTATGCACCATAAGGGAAGAATATTTTTCAGAAAAGACAAAATGAAGAGAGTATGGTAGGCATCACTCTACAAGCATTTCACATGTTCTTATTAAGTGTACTGCTTAAGTATTTCATACAGGAAAGCTTTTCAATTCACCGAAGTTTTAGAATGTACTGAGAAATATTACTATAGGAAGTGGTTCATAGTTATTTTAATACAAAAGCAAAACAAAAGGACTCTTTAAGTCACCAGAATCTTGGTAGATAATTTATGTATAGCACAAATCCTTTTTTCTTTTTGAGACAGGGTCTCAGTGTACGTTTCAGGTGGGCCTTTAACTCACTATGTAGCTTAGACTGGCATAGAACTGAGTGATTTTCCTGCCTCTGGCTTACAAGTGTGCACCACTATGCCTTGCTTAACACAAAACATTAAGCTGCCTCACAGTTCTATAATACAGGCATTTCTTCATAGCAGTCCTATAAGCGTGGTGTTTGTTTTTTTTTTATTATGCTGTTCTTTTATTTGTTATTAGAATATAAAGTTCTTGTATTAAGGCATTGA